CCGCCTCGCTTGCGAGGGGACAGCACGGGGGGGGGACATTCGTCTTCTGACGAGAGCGGCCATTAATTCAGAAGCGGCCCGTCCGTCCGTCTCTCTCCCTTTGTCAGTCCGTCTCTGTCTCTCTGTCCGTCAGACGAGCGTCTCTCCGTCTGTCCCTGCTCGTCGGCCCGAGTCCCTGAGAATAGAGGGGCTTCCCTCCGAGCGTGTCCTCCTGGTCTTTGTTGTCCCCTGCACGATGTCTTACTGCGGGCGGCTGAAACCCGGGATTTAACTTAAAAGGTTTTTCTGTCGTTGTTTTCCCGTCTGTCCCGTCCACATCCAAATGTGAAGTCTCAGTGAGAAAGTCTCCTAGTTGCTGTGGACATTATCTAACACGTATTCTCTCGCTCTGTCCCGTCCCCCCCGTCCCCCCGTCCCCCCCGTTCCCAGGCCTGTTAATCAGCAGATTGTTAATGAAGGCCCGAGTTCAAAGACACCGGGAGAGAGGGGGCTACGAGGCCCCGAGCGGTGGGATGGGGAGGAGTCCTGGACCGACTGTCTGTTTGTCAAAACACGTCCACCCGTCTGTCTCTTTGCCCGTCTTCTCCTCTGATGTGAGTCCCTCAATGAGTCCTCCGCGAGGACCTCAGCACAGCGCCGCTCTCCGGGTTTCCCTTTCATGTTCCATTAAATGTGAACCAGAAAGAGACAGAGAGACAGACAGAGAGGGGAGAGAGATTAATTACACGTTTCAATAATGGAGATTAATTTGTATTATTTAAACATTGACAGTATCAACTAGACGTCGGGCATTTTGTGAGACACACACACACACACACACACACACACACACACACACACACACACACACACTAGTTCTCACTTTAATGGGTGAATTCATGCCATTAAAGTCTTCCCTTCACTTCGTTCCCCTCCTCCCTCTGCTCCTTTAACACTGTACATCAACTCATCTGCCAACCAAAATTGTTGTTTTCATGCACATAATTTCCGTGTTTATTTCCACCTATATTGAGCTTCGCCAGCTTGAAATAATGCTCCTGACATTTATCGTTGCCGCTTCTCCCGTGCGTAGAAAAAAAAAACAGGGCTTTTATGGAAAAAGAAAAGCCCAGAGAAAACTCTCAAAGTGGAAATGGTGGAGTTTGAAGCCCCCAACCCTTCTCCTGGTGGACGGCAGCACAAAGGGGGCAGAACAAAAAACAGTAAAATGAAGCACTTGGGCCGTAAAGATGTCACACGGGCCCTGAAAACACGCCGGCCCGACCCAGCCTGGGCCGCCACTGGGAGGGTGACAGGAACCAGTGAGGGGGATGGAGAGGAGGGGGGGGGGGGGGGGTCACTGCACAGAGGAGAGCGTGAGCTCCCAAAGCCACACGCCGACACCACAGGCCGACTTCACCCTTTTTAACGGCGCCATATTTCCCCAAAAAGCATCAGGCGGAACATGTGACGGCCAAATGGCAGCGAAGTCTCCGATAGATCCGGGGAGCAGTCGTTCTCTCTCTCGGGGGGTGGGGGGACGGGGGGGGCTGTCTGCTAGAATAATTTACAAGGGAGTGACGAGAAAATCGTGGAACTGTTCAAACAACAAGAAGAACGAGAGTAAAAATAACTCAAGCGATTTGGCACCCGTGGCCTTCAGATGCATTTGAGGGGTTAAGAGATGATTAACTGGACGGAGGAAAAGACAGAAAATATTTTTGGACGCACGACATCACGGAGCTTTGCTCCGTCTGCGCAGAGACGAGGGCTCGAGATGCGGATCCAAGTAACAAGATCCCTGGTTAAAAATCTCACAAGACGGAAAACGAGGGAAGTGAAGAAAAACCAACCAGCGGGCGTCCGCCTCCTGCTCGGCTCCACAGGGTGCATCTGTGTGCACGCACACGCGTGTGTGTGTGTGTTTGTGTGTGCGTCGTGGCTGTTTGTGTATCCTTTCTCCAGCAGGACCCCCAGATCAAAACCGCAACCCACTCTCCCTCCCCATGCCTCTCTGGTTCTCCCTCTCTATCTCAGTCTCTCCACCCCCTCTCTCATTAAAAACTGCAGGCCCAGGCTTCTAATTAAATCCCACTTGAAAAGTCTTAAAGTCGGCCTCAGATTGATTCAATTTGCATTTCTGAACAGAGAACATTGCCTAAAAGGATTAATAAATTGGACGGGAAAAAAAAATAAAAAATCCTTCTTTCTGCACCACGCCGCCAGAGCTTGTAAGACAACATCCAAAGAGAAATACCCCCCCCCCCTCTCAACGAACGTCTATCCAACATATGCTCTCGCTCTCTCTCTCTCTTGCACGTCCCGCAGGATGCCAGCAGAGATGGGAAGTGCGTGCCGGCGTGCGCGTGGGCGTGCGAGTGCGCGCATGTCCTCGCGTCTGTGGGACAAAGCGAAGAGTCCTCGGAGGCACAGTCGGGAGAGAACACACGCAGTCTGACTCTCACTGTGTGTGCGTGTTTTTTGTGTCTATTTATGCCTGTGTGTGTGTGTGTGTGAGGGCGACTTTGTTGGAGCGTGCCAGAGTGCTGAAAGTGACGAGAAGGCCCAGTGGGAGAAGATCCTTGCTCTGCTGACTGCGTGTGCAGAAACAGGCCGTGGAGCCGTGCCATCGGCGAGCGGACACCTACAGCAACATGTTTAGGAATTAAAACAAATAAAAAAAAAACACCCAAAAAAAACAAACGGCGCCAGCTAAGAGAGGAGCCGGAGTTACGTGGTGAGATCAAATGAAAAGAAGGAGGAGGATGAGACGAGCGAACACTTATTTGAGAGTTTACATTTGCATTGACACAAAAGGTCTGCCTGAAAATTGTACTTCGCAGGCTCTCTGTGTGTATTTGTATTGTCCGTAACTATGGAAACCTGCTAACAAGACGAGAGAAGATTACCTACAGCTATCAGACGCATTTATCCAACATTATGCAAATAGAGCCTAATAATGTGCTAATCCTTTCTGCTATTCCTCCTGTTTATGGTGACGTTCACGGAGGGATGAGTGAAGCTCATTTTGGTGAATGTTTTTAAAAAAAAAACAATGATTTTAATTTACAAGATTTTCGACAGAATTGGATCTGTAGCCTACTGTACTTTTTTGTATATAAAATAAAATAAATTGGGTATTTATGCTGAGCCGACTGTTACAAGCCGTCAAAACTGGCTGATGGACTTTAATTAGTTAGTTAGTTTAATATAAAACTCGAATGACATAAATAATAATAATAAATATCATTATAAACAGACAGCACTCAGACAGCATGGCTTCATTGCATATCAGTCAGTGGATCTAAAATTATAATAGCACAGAAATTAGTTTACGAATAGACCTCAAACACGATGAACACACAAAAGAAAAAGGCAATATTTGCATAATAAAGAGACATTAATTAAATGTAAATGAAATAAATGAACATAATTCAAAATAAAAGTCTCACTGTCCTCTTCTCACCAAGTGAGTAGTGCGCGGAAGGTCGCGGATCCATCTCGCCCTGCGTTGGACGAAGCGACACTGACCCCTGGTGGTAGCAGCTGCAACCAACCCCAAGGGGGGTTTGCAGCATGCGTGTGCGCATGCACGTGTGAACATCCCCGTGTCCCTGCGTGAGGACCCCCCAACGCTGCTCGTTGGCTCTGTGCAGGTGCGCTCCTTTGCAGCAGTGCCTCGCTTTCCTTTGTTTGACTGGGACATTCGCGGGGCGCGTGTTGCGTTTGCGGGTTTTGCTGCACGCGCGATTCATCCCTCCACTCTATACGTTTGAGCCCGCGCGGCGTGCGTGTCCCCGTGAGGCGTGTGCGCGCGTTTTTGTGTGTGCGCGTCGTTCCGTGCGCGTGTGTTCTAATAACGGCGCCCGGTGGACCGGGGGCCTCCTTTGATGCGATGAGGGCTGACAGGCGTGAAACAGGTCCAATCAGGCGCGTGGGCGCTGCCAATTAACCCCTTTCACCGTGTGAAAGCAAACATAATTGCCGGGGGGGGGGGGTGCGGGGGGGCCACCGGGCCACGGCCTGCCCAGCGTAGGCTGAAAGGGGCATTAGCAGTGCTGCCAGGTGACCATTACACACACGATCTAACCGCTGTGTGTCTCTGCGAAGCGCACACTTACACAATTATACACCTTTCATCAGGTGTGTCTCTACTGTGCCGCGTTTATTACACTGGATTTAGATTCAAATGCCTCTATGGACATTTTATGCTGTCATGATTCTGTGCAGAATGTTATAATATAACTGGAACAAACAGTCTTTAATAAGTTAAGTTAAGCTTTGTGTGCACTAATAATCAAATGTCATTGATTTAATGCTCAAGGCAAATACCCCACATTCTCAAACGCCCTTAACTGGGGCGCTGTTATAAATTAAACAGTACTCTGCAATGCTGGAATAACAATGTTAACTAGAATGTCATAATTATTTGTCTTGTTTTGATATTCTTGTGTTAAATTAAGAAGCATGGTTATCCACATTTTGTTACACAAATAAGAAGTATTTCAAATGAAAGAGCGTATGAACTGAAACTCACTTTCTTCAGCATCCTTATCAACCAAATCCAGCAGTCTCAGAGATGGATTCATCCTGCATTCCTGTCAATTCTTTCTTGGGAATATTATATTCACTGTAATATACATACAGGAGAATGAATGCAAAAGCTTTTAAATACATTTGATTGATAGTGTATTACATACACGTGGCTAAAGCTTGGAATACAACAGCCTTGTTCACTGTTTCAAGATTCAACTTTAGTTTTAAACACTGCACTTTGACACCTTAATGTCATTTTAAATTGGCACTGATAAGTATTATAACTAAAGCCTGTTTATAAATTCATATTAATAAGTTGAATGCATATAATAGACTATTGCAGTGAAAAAATATTTGTCTGTTTTTGCACTTTCTCCATCCTCTCTCCTCTCCTGTCTCCTATCTACTGTCTCCTCCTCCTCTCTCCTATTGACTGTCTCCTCTCTCCAGTGTCTTTTCCCCTCCTCTCCTCTCCTCTCTACTCTCCCCTGTATCCTCTCTCCTCTCCTGTCTCCTCCTCTCCTCTCCTGTCTCCTCTCTCCTCCATCCTCCAGCCTGCCCGACTGCCCGACGGAAAAAATGTTGGCAAAACACCCCCTCCTCATCGCGCCGAGAAAAAAAATGGCGGACGAGCGCTAAATCCACACCAGAAACAAACACGCGCTACAGAGCGAGGTAAAACACCCTCGGATACGCCGAGCGACGTCGCGTTTCGGGCTGCGCTTCCGCGCCGAGCCGCGGTCGTCCCCGGGCCGCCCGCCCCGCGCGCGTGTGTGTGTGTGTGTGTGTGTGTGTGTGTGCCGGCGGGCTTCCCGCCCCGCCCAATGCTAATGTTTATCTTTAAGGAGTCCGCGAGCTTAGCCAGCCACCTAGCACGCTAAGCTAGCATCTCCAAGAGTCGGCGGGGGCCTCCTCCCCGTGTTGACGCGCGGCCGCGTCCCATGCCGCGCGTGTCGCTCCCGCGTTGTTGCTAGTCGGAGGTGTATTATGTAGTACGGGGAACCCCGGGAGAATTTGACCAAAACCTATTGGTTTTGCAGCGGGGAGGAGGGCGGCGGCGGCGGCGGGCGGCGGCGGGCGGGCGGGCGGGGGGGTCCCGGGTGTCCGCGCCGTGTTTAGCGGACGGAGCTCAGCACTTTCCCGATAAGCGCGATGTCTTAGCGTGCAGATGGAAAACAACGGTGCGGCCGCAGCGGTTCCTGCCGCGCGGGTTAGATGAGACCACCAGCCGGGGAAGCAACGGGAGGAACCGGGGGGGGGGGGACGACCACCACCTGGATGCAAATCTCACTGACGCCTCCTGTCACTTTCCCAGACGGAGAAGAGGAGCGGGGACCGGCCCGCTCTCTTTTTGGACCCCCCCTCCCCCGCCTCTCGGTGGAGGAAAAGGCGCACTTCCACCGGCACAGGGGAATCACCCCGGGAGGAGAAACCGCTGCTCAACGGTTATGAGGTTTTAAGGTAGGAGGCCGTTCATGGAACCCTTCACGCCGGGCTGGAATGAGATGAAATAGTTGGGTAACAACACTTTGTTGGGCACGTTTTTGTACATTATCTGCCACTGCCCTGCTGTGATTCCACCACCCCTGGAGGAAATCTGCGTTTTGGATCATGTGTATTTATTGTGTGTGTGTGTGTGTGTGTGTTAAAACGCCACGGTGGCCTGCGGGACCACAAATGCTTCCAAAACAAAAGGTTTATTTTCGATCGTAACAACTTCACAAGGCTCTTTTTTTGTGTGGCCTCCAGCGCCGGAGCCGCCTGTGTGTTGTGAGCTCGGCCTGCGTTGGAGCATGAGGAAGCCTGCGCCACAGAAAGGTAACAAGTGCCATCATGTTGTTTGCACAATGAACGACAAACGACAAGTGTTGTGCATTGTGTGCACCGACTGATCTCCCGTTCCATCTCCCTCGGCTCCTCCTCAGCCATAGAATGGAAAGAAGTCAGAAGGATCAAGCAAGCCCGGAGCGGACGTCCCTCTCGGGTGCTCTCACAATACCAAGGTGAGTGAGTTTGGGGTGATTCTAACAGGTGAAAGTACCCGTGGTTTTACCTCAACCCCATCATCCCCAGCACCATATTTGCTGAAAAGGTGGATAAAAGATGTGGAGCTCCGTGCGTCTTTGCCATTGTGTGTTCGGGCTCAAAAAACATGGCTTTGTCAAATGCATGAAAAATGACATTCATGAAACTTTCTATCACCCCAAAATGCGAAGGCAGTTGTTACGTGATACATTAGGGGTGTAAAGATTCATTTTAACAACGATTCGACGATCGGTTAATTTAGTTCAGTTCGATTTGATTCACTGACTTGAAATCGATTCAGTAGGCAAAGTTTCTGAGATCCCTGTTGTTTCTTGTAAGGAAATCAGGTTTAAATTAATTATGGATATTATAAACAAGCAAACAACAATTAATAGCAAATGTATTAACCTTTTATTGTGCAACCATTTTCAATGTAAACATTACACAATAATTACACAATGTTTGGATCAATTCACAGAACCCCGGATGTTCCACCACATCGTAGGGTCGCACATCTTTACAGATAAACTTGTTGCTGTGATGTTGAGTTTGGTGCTGGAGGCCTGAGGCGTCTGCAGAGCTGCAGTTACCTGCTGCTGCTGCAGCGGTGACGCTGCTAGAGGTCCTGACTGTCGGCGTTGTTTAATCCTGCGGCGCCTTAGTAGACGGCCGCAAAGATTCCTCGTGTTTCCGTGTTTTTTTTATTCGGCTTCTACATATTCTACAAACAGCGAGCGACTTATTTAGAACACCTCCGTGTTTGCAAAAGCCAAAATGTTTCCACGCGCTGGATCGATGAGTTGGTTTGTAAATGTCTCGCTCGCAGTCGTCTCCTCCACGCTGTGTTTTGTTGTTGTTCAGAGTTTCTCGCGGCTGCCGCTGCGTATCGATGACGTCACAGACAGGCAGACTGAATCCAGTAACGTGTCTAAAGTGCTAAAAAAAATTTTTTAAAAACACGCATCCACACCGTTTTTGTACTGAAATCCAATGTGCAGTTTCCAATCATCGATACAAATTGTACCATTTCAATCGATTTGCAATCGATATATGTCGTCCGGAATGCCAATTTGCGGAGCACAGATCGATTCAGTTGGATCGCAGGAATATAAATCGATTAATCGATTCAGTGGATGAATCGTTACACCTCTATGATATATATATTCTCCTGCAGGGCTTTTCAGTTGGGACAAATACCTGAAGGAGACGGGTGCCGTCGCTGCACCTTCTGCTTGTTTCAGACAGGTGAGCGGGATGCGCAGGTCCTCCTACCTGTCTAAAGCAATGCTACTCGTAAGCTTCTTGAATTCTCTCCCCGCTGCTGACACCGCTCGCCGACTCACACTCGTCTGTCGTCACCACCTAGAGCCTCGCGCCTCCGCTCAACGAGTTCAAGGCGGGGATGAAGCTGGAGGCCCTGGACCCGCGGAACACCACGTCCACCTGCATCGCCACGGTGGTGGGCCTGACGGGCTCGCGGCTGCGCCTGCGCCTGGACGGGTCGGACAACAAGAACGACTTCTGGCGCCTGGTGGACTCCTCGGAGATCCAGCCGATAGGCAACTGTGAGAAGAACGGGGGCATGCTGCAGCCGCCGCTCGGTGAGGACGCACGGGGGGGCGGGACACGTCGGGTTTTATTCACTCACCTGCTAATTATTCTCTTGATTCATCATGCGGTCTCCACGGTAAATTATTGAGAAAGCTCATCAGAATTTCTTGTTTTGTAGTTTTGCCGTGATCGTTCTCCACCGCCACCTTCATCAAAGCTGTTTCAAGCCCGCCGCGTGTTTCTGCGTCTCTACGCGCACCGTCGTGTCGACGCGCTCGTTTCAATTCATGCTTCTAAAAGTCGCGCGTGTGTTGCAGAGCGATTCACCTCCAGAACAACAGGCGGAGTGACGTGTTTTGCTGAAGACGACCTAGAGAGTCACGTCTATTTATTTATCTATTTATTTATTGCATCGCCGCTGCTGCTTTTCATCGCGGACACGTTTGTCCCGTATTTTCCTCCACAACTTTGTTCCCCTCGACCGGCAAGCCGGCGTCTGCGGAGATCTCCCCCCGTGAATCAGAGGCCATGCGCGCGTCCTCATAGTCCGCCAATGACGGCTCGTACAAGCGCTCATATTTATGCATTTCTTGAGACAAAAGTTCTTCAATGTGCTCCGTTCTCTCGTAAACGTTCTTTGTTTTAATAATGGCGGTATCGGGCTGTGAAAGCGGAAATGTGAGACTCCGTAAAGGACGTAGTTAGCGGACCAATCGCAGCCTTGGGTGCTGCGGTGGACGCACGCAAGGAGGTGTGAAAGGACACGCGAGGGGCTCCTGCGTCTGCGCAGAAGCATAAACTAGGCTTTGCTTTTGACAACAATTGCCTTTTTCTTCAGGTTTCCGTCTCAACGCGTCGTCTTGGCCGATGTTCCTTCTGAAAACGCTGAATGGAGCGGAGATGGCTCCCTCTCGCATCTTCCACAAGGTACCTGGACGAGTCTCGCAAGCTGGACACACTCGTATGAGCTGCTTGCTGTCCCATGTCAGGCCTCTAGTCGTTGTAGCGTCATACCAGAGGTCACTGCTCTGCTCTCCTGGAACAAGTCGACGCGCCGATCCACAACTTCACACCGCCTGACGCTCCTCCTCCTTTGGTTCCACGTTCCCCCAGCAGGAGCCTCCCGCCCCGGAGCAGAACTCCTTCCAGCTGGGCATGAAGCTGGAGGCGGTGGACCGCAAGAATCCCCATTTCATCTGCCCGGCCACAGTCGGCGCGCTGCGCGGCGTGGAGGTGCTGGTCACCTTCGACGGTTGGCGAGGAGCCTTCGACTACTACTGCCGCTACGACTCGCGCGACATCTTCCCCGTCGGCTGGTGCACGCTCACCGGGGACAACCTGCAGCCGCCCGGCGCCAAAGGTACGCGCCTCGGCCCGGGTTAGACTTTAAACCGTCCACCAGCTCGGGCCTTTTCCTGGTTGGACGTCTTTTCAGGGGATTAGAATAGTGTAAAATGTAGGTGCAGTTTAATAAATAATGAACTAAATTTAAAGGGCTTTAACATCTGAGTGTACACACAGATTACGCTATGTTATATAGTATTTTATATTTAGTATGTTGTACCCACATTGTATTAATTGGAGCCACCACTAATTCTCAACGAAACTGTGACTTTCATCTAGTTGGTTTGTGTTAAACTCTCTGGATGCTGCTGTTATTTGTCCTCTGTTTCTTCACATCGATGTGTCGATGGGAAGGAAATCCAGTCCTTATAAGAACTTCTTGTTATACGTGTTTTGGGACGAGCTTTTTCCTGCTTTGCCTTTAAATAGAACAAATGAGGATTTGTCATTAACATCCGCAGTTTTACTGATTTGTTTGGTGCAACAAGTGTTACATCATCCGTCTGAGGTCGTCGTCAGTCGATCAAGTCATCAACATGAGTTTGCTGTTTTTACTCCCGGATGGCGACGCGACCTGCGTCTGGTTTCTCAGCATGGGGGGGCAGAGGAAGATCTTTGTTATACGGGAAACACGAATGGAAGGAGTGAAGAAAAAAGGTCAGCTGCGCTCCTCCGTTAGAGCCACGAGGGAAGGCGGGCCGGGGGGGCCGGGGGGGCCGGCACCTCCTGCCTCTGGAGCCCGCTAGAGTTTCATGAAGGCCTGGGCACTCCCCCAGCTGGCAGAGTGGGGGCCTGGACGTGGTTGGAACGAGCCCGGCCGCCCCCTCCACGGGCCCCCTCGTAGCCCCCCCCCCCCCCACGGCTAACAGGGTCCGCGAAGCGAGCGAAGGGGACCGAGGCGAAGAGATGAGGCAGACGTATGCTGCTGGAAGAGGACTGTTTACATTGCCAGCAGATGGTGGGAGGAAATAGAAAGAGAGGAGGAGCCACGGGGAGGACGGGGGGAGGACGGGGGGAGGACAGGGTGGGAGGACAGGGTGAATCCGAGGACAGCTGTGCAGACAAACGCGCGCTTTTCACGTTGGTTTGAGCACCAGAGGTGAGTAGCGATGAGGGAAGCGAGCGGAGCGCCGGATTAAAAGCTCGTGGGAAGTTGTCTCTCCCTGTAACTCGACGCTGCCGCTGGTGGCTTTTTGAACTCGATGAACTCGGAGCAGAGACGGGATCGGGGGAGGGGGGGGGGTAGGGGGGAGGGGGGCGGTTGCTCGTTACGCTGTTTGTTTGTCTTTAAACCTTCTAAACATATTATGCATTCATGCGTTGCATTGATTGGTGCGAATGTGTGTTTACTAAATACAGACCTGTGTTCATGAATGTGGCTGCTCCGGTCGTAAATCTGTCCACAGTAGATTCCACATGAATACCAGCGCATTGTTTATTGTGTGTGTGTGTGTGTGTGTGTGTGTAGCTGCAGGTGCACGTGAAGCCACATGACCTGGATACACGGTGCTTTTTCCTTCTGTGCTTTTGTTTTTTCTCGCACACATTCCTGGAGGATAATCCCGCTGCGTCGGCTCCCGTGAAGGACGCAGCTCCTCCTGGTTATTTTCTTGGATTTGACGTGGGGGGGAGGAGGGAGGGAGGGGGTTTCCCATGTGCATGTTCCCTCAGTGGGGCCACGTGGTTTCTGAGAGGCACAGTTGGTGGAGGTCACGCGTTTCTTCTTTCTTCCTTCAGCTCTTTCGTCGATACGCGTCCCGGTTTAATCTGGCAGTGTCCCCACTTCTTGATTCAGCGCTGGACTGATGGATGTCTGTCCCTGCTCCTCGTGTCCTCCGGCTTCTCTTAGTGTTGTTAGCTGAGCTTTTATCTCCTCAAGCTTTCGGACATCAGTCTCTTGTGCTTTGAGCAACGGACGCCGCATTCCATTCCCCTCGTTTGCTTTGACAAATTCCCTCCACAATAGAAGCGTATGTGTGATGCACGAGTTGATTCATCAGAGCCGCCACGAAGAGACGCCGCGGCGCAGAGGAAGAGCTGCGTGACCTCGTTGAAATGCGGGACCGAACCCTTTGAGGACACAAACTGTGTCATTCACATTATACAACCACAACAGGGGGCAAAGGCTGTGAAATGTGACTCTGTCTCTTCTGTCGCCGCATCTTTGCCCGTGCAGTAGCGCCGCCCAGGAGCCTCGCGGCGCCGACCGACGGCAGCGTGGACAGAGCGGCCATGCACCCGGCGCCCGCGGTGGGCCGGCCGCCGGGCCAGAGAGGACGGAAGCCCGGCCGCAGGAAAGCCAAGGGGACGGGCCTGTGGAACCAGAAGGGCTCGGCGGGGGGAGCGCACGGCGGCCCGCCGGGCAAAGCGCTGGAGCCCATCAAGGTCCCCAAGAAACGAGGGCCCAAGCCCGGCAGCAGGGTAGGAATCGACCGGTTCGGACACCTCCGGGGGGGCTTCACTCGCGCCCTTTACTAACCAACAAGAACATATTTGAACGTTGGCCAGCCACGCTGACGATTGATCGTACGATCCGCGGTGAAAAGGGGTCATTTTCCCCAAAGTCACACTTCTTTTTGCTCCGAGCAGAGCAGTCGCCCCCTGCTGGCTCCTAAAGAGAAAAGCAAGCACTTTTTCATAAGCATTCTTTGCTGCCTGGTTAAATCTAAAATATTAATTCTACAGATAGTTTTTCCTACCAAAGGAATCTGTGAATTATCCAGAAAACAATCCAATGTAGGACTTTTCCGCTGTTGAATCTCGTCCGCGCCGTGAAGCGTTCCGCCACTTGATCCGCCGTCTCCTCCGCTCTTGGTTTGCAGCAGTTGGGCTGGGCGAAGCGGGCCGGCTGGCTGGAGGGCGCCATGGCGGGTCCAGGACGGCCGGCGACGGGCCCGGGGCGGACCCGGGGCAGGTTGCCCGCCAACTGGACACACGGCTTAGCTCTGCAGCAAAACCAGACTCAGGCAGAACCGATCAAGGTCCCAAAGAAAAGAGGCCCCAAGCCCGGCAGCAAGGTAGCTACAGCACATCACATCATTCGTAACGTTTGCCACATCCTGCTCTGGTATTTAATACCGATCAATTGGACCGGAGGACACCTTAAGAGAATAAGTCTGTGTGGGAATATATCATGTTGCACCGTTTAGAAATAACTGGCAACGCTTAAACCTGAACATAAGCAGCCGAGGCCAAATAATAAATGAACATTACATGTCTCAATTACCGGAGGCTGTGATCTTTGCCTCGGTGGATGACGTTAGATGGTGTTTTTTAATAGAGGTGGATTGAGCTGGTTTCCATTTAGGCACCAACAATTATCAAAACACAACTTTTCGACAATGAACGTAGGCGGGCGAACCTTAAAAGATGAAGATTCATGGAAACGCTTTACGCAGATGAATGGATTTTCTCTTGTTTACTGATCTACAGGGTTTCCCTAGTGGACTCCTAGTCTCCTGATGGTTACAGACCACAAAGGTTTCTCAATGTGCATGTTTGTCTTTTCCAGAGAAAACCCCGCGTGGCGCCCAATCCTGTCCCCACGTCTCCGACCAGCAGCACCCTGGAGCCCGACACCAGCACGGTGCCCACGGACAACGCCACCATCCCCAGTTCTGCCCTGCAGGCTCCCACAGGTACTCACATAACGGACCCTTGTATTGGTGTGAGCTGCGACTTCCAGCAATGCTCTTTTGGGAGGCGCCCCACTAACGTGGGGTATCAAAAACATGCACGCCGAGGTGGGCTCACTTATGGACCAGCGGCTGGTCCACCATGTCCGATCCATTTGGCCCCGGCCGAGCTTCTTGGGTGTTCCGGCGAGTGGGTTTCAGGGGGTGGTGGGCCTCCCCCCACAAACAGGGACCCTTTTTTTCTCTCCCTAAATCCGGGACAGGAGGGCGAAAGTCATTTCAGGGGGGGGATAAACAACCGGCGTTGTTTTGTTTTCTCCCGGCATCTCCCCCCCCCCCCCCACGAAACCCCAAGGCAGAATTTGATTGTCTTGTTCTTGTTTTCCTCGTCCAGCCTTCTTCGACAAGCAGCAGCACACCTTGACCCTGCCGACAGTCAGCAGCGTCACGTACGTCCTGCGCTTCCTGGAGAAGCTCTGCCACAACCTGCACTGCGACCCCCTCTTCGGCAGCCAGCCTGTCGCCGGAGGAGCTGCGTTACACACACAGGCTGCAGGTCGGTGGCGCCGCGCTCCGCTTTCACCTGCGTCGTAAACGGCAGAATATTTGATTCGCGGCAGTTACGCTGGGATGCTTCTCCCCACCGATGCACTCAAATGTAGCATAATGTGGTACAATGTAAGAATGGACATAAATGTTACCAGAAAGGTTCCCTGCGGCACAATGCCATCGTGTCTGCCTTACTGCTGTGAGTTGAGAGTGTCTTTGTCGGAGGGGAGGAAAGAATTGCATGAAGTACATGTCTCCCCTGTGGACGGAACGTCTTTGGCAGAGAGAAGAGGTTTTGGAGACGGCCTGTCGACCGGCGCCAAGCGCTTCCTCAAAGATTACAACGGCGCAGCTCCTCAGAAACTGTCCAAAGTGTCCCGGCTCTCCACTGATGGTACGTTGCTTTTAGGATTCAGGTCCTTCTTGTTCTTTCTTTAGAATTTAATTTAATTATAATATAATTTAATATGAACACTTTGAATCCCACAGTAAGACGTTGCGTCTCCCATATATACACATGTATGTGTGTGTGTGTATGTATATATGTAATATATATATATATATATATATATATATATATATTTGTAAGAAGGTACGGAAGGTGCCAACATCTCACTCTACCTACTTTATGCATCGGCGGATCAATGTTCATTTTACTTGTGAGTTAAAAAAATGATTTTCCTGATGAAAGAAGCGTTCCACTCATGTAAATAGCATTTTATTTATATAATTTTTTATGTATGTATTCAATACTAAGTTGTCCAGTAAAGCCACACGTAATCATATGAAGGAGAAGCTCTTGGCTGAGGACAGGAGGTTAATCGTTCAATCATCTTTCAATTTCCTTACATTTTAATTAAGTTAATGGAATAGTTTTATGTTAAAGGGTAATATCCATTTTAATGGGAGACCAGAAAACACACTTAAGTCTAAAGGGTTTCTAGCCTTCAAATATGTGATTAGATTAAGTCACTAAGGGCTTTTAACAACACATTACATAGTAACTCGATACAATGAAATACATTTTTAACTCTATGTAAATTAGAATTATTGCATATCGGAGTGCTCATTACAATTAGTGGCTGTTGTACTTTTTAATGGACACATTTATGTGTTCGTATGTTTTGTGCTCATCCAGACGACCGAGTTAATCCTTTTAACTTTTTATATTTAAATGCAGCACTTACAGTCACTCCATGCTGACGGGTTGTAGATCCCAGTCGATGATGATCCTGACACGTCTCATCCATTGACCTTCCTTCCAGCATTCTATGAATGAAACCTCCTTTCAGAGAGAACAACCGTTAAGCGCTGAAACCAGATTCAACATTTCCCACAGCGCCATCACCAGGAAGGTGTTTGTTTAGTTACTAAAACATATCTCTAAAAGTTTGCTTGGGAAACGTGGATTCAAGACGTGGCGGTAATTGAGTATTGTTAGTTTTTATGTGTAGTCCCACCGTTGGGGGTCTTTGTATTCCGGGTGTCCGGTGGAGCCGGTGGATCCGTTTTCAGTCGGCCGTCACAATGTTCGCGTCCTCGCCGCTGTCGCTTCCCTCGTGTCGTGGTGGGCAGACACCGAGTCTTCTACGTCTACGTCATGTGTCCCCCAGGCGAGTCCCCCGTGGAGGACACTGTCGCCGCGTCGGAGCACTTCAAGAAGAGCCCTCTGTCTCCGAACCGCTCGCTCCAAAGCGCCGGCCTGCCGTCTCCCTCCAAGCTGCTGCACCACAACAGCTCCACAGGTGGGAGGGCTTCAGCGAGCCAGCAGTGATGCATCTGAGATGTCCCATTCTGTTGTATCCTACAAGATGAATAACGCCTTTTAGATTTAAAGCTCTCCGACAGCTTCTTTTTTGGAATAACTCGTAGTAACATGGAATACTTTTTATTATGTTATTTGGGTATTTAGATCTCAGGTGCATTGGGGTATGTTGGTGAATTAATGGACTTCGACGTCTTCTTTCAGGCAGTTTCCGGGAGAGCCCGAGGCCGAGCGGTCAGGACCCCAACCTGTGGACAGTGGAGGAAGTCGTGAAGTATATCAGAGACATCGACCCAGTGCTCGCCCCCCACGCTGACCTTTTCAGAAAACACGTATGCATGTACTCTATTTTATAAATAACTATACGTGTGTGTGTGTGTGTGTGTTTTAGTAAACATTTTAACTCTCTTTGTCCCGCCCCCTCCGCCTCAGGAGATTGACGGTAAAGCCCTCCTGTTGCTGCGCAGCGACATGATGATGAAATACATGGGCCTGAAGCTCGGCCCCGCCCTCAAACTCACCTTCCACATCGACAAGCTCAAGCGGGCCTGAGGGGGGGGGGGGTCAGCCGACCAGCCGCGATCCTTCCAAAGGACCGAGCTCCGCCCCCCCACCGTCCTGATCCAGGATCAGCGTACCGACCATTTACATGTAGCATCATGCGTCAGACCTCCACAGGTGGTATTGCATACCCTCGTCCTGACCTCATCCAATGAGGGTTTCTTATTTTTGTGTAGCACAATCCAGCCCCAAGGCAGCATGGGATACGTAGGACGACCCACTTGTACGTCATCGGTTTTGCATTTCAGTATAACTTGAAGAGCCCCGCGGCTATTTTAACTATAAGAGGCTTTTTTTGGGGGGCCGGCTTTTATTAGGTTACATTTATTCTGTACATTTCATATTTTCTACTTGATGGATTTATGGACTTGTATTTTTAAACGGTTTGTGCGGGATCTGCCCTGAAGAGAAGAAAACACTACATGCATCTCAATACTTGGGATGCCGCTGGTTAACGTCTCCGTGTGAGGCTCTCAAAACCACAACAGCATTAATCATAGGGAGGAAAAACAGCTTTTATAAAGGGATGCGGATACGGACTCAAATAGCCGGATCAGGTGACAATCTGCGGATCTATTATTAGATACCATTATTCTAATAAATCATATTTCTGTACATTTATGTCTTCTGTATTTATTTGTTATTATTTTTTACAAAGTTTGGAAAGTAATGTGGAAGCCTGGTGTTGCCTTAAGAAAACCAATGATCCCAATGACTCCCACACACACGGACGCACCAAATGCAGCGCTGGCATCCGATCTGCAGACACACAAACCGGCTCGTTGGCGTCCGTATCGCCGCCGGGTTACGACGGCGCATCCCTAGTTTTATGAAAATACTGCCAATCTGTTTCCTTATTCTTATTCTGGATGTTGTTTACATGTTTTGTCTTTGTACTTTTTTTAATTTTTATACTATATTAGAGCTCCGACCTTGAGAGCACTATCGTACTTTACATTGTTCAATAAATATATAATGAGTCAAGTGTTGGTTTATAGTCCTTATTTCTTCTGCCGCAATTTCTAGTTACACCTGGTTTACACAATATTGTTTTGTTCACTTTTCTTTGGCACAATATTCTTCTTAATTGACCTTTTGATACACATTACATGCCACATCGTCGTGTAGTCGCAGTCGTCCCACCAGCAGGGGGCAGTGCTGCAGCTGTAATGCCCCCTTGCTGTTTCTCCTTGGGCCTCAACTCACGTGCACCACGTGCACCCGCATGGGCGGTCACATCTCCATCTGTCACACGCAGCATGATCATCTGATATTTTTACACCACGTAGTTATTCATATGTTTGTGCTTCGTTCTCCGTCTTTCCGTGCAGTTATTGCACATATTCCCCCCCCATTGGAAGGCGCTCTTGATGGATCGCTGTTTGTGGTGAACGTCGCTGTCAGCACGTCACTGAGCCATCAGGCTTGTGGGTAAAAAAAAAAAAAAGACTTGTGTCTACTGAAGCAACTTGGCACAAGACAAAAAAACGACCACATCCTCTGAGTGAAAACAGCAAAACACGTCGCAAACAGTGACCCAACCCACAGACTCCAACCGACTGGATGAGTATGAATGCATTTTTCTGTGTGCAAGCATATGACTGACACACACACACACACACACACACACAATCTGTGCTGTGTTTGTGTGTTCTGCTCAGGCACATGTGACAAGCTCGCAGCTCATGCCTGTGCTTGTTGATGTGTAATTGTAGACAAACTGTTGTGCTATTTATAGATATAACAGCTCCTTGTCCTGCATATTGTGCTTACGAAGGTTGTGAAGCGAGTTCTTACTTCATCGGCCAACTCCACAGCGTGCTCGTCTTTTTCTATCAGGCGCCCGCTCTCATGTGGCGCCTCTGAGGTTGAATATTCAATATGCCTGCCTGTGTTCTGTGAACGCACACAAGCAGCATCTCTTTGTTGTCATGGCATACGGGTTCATCGGCTCTTGTTGGGGGAATTCTGCTCTTGATATTTACCAACAACGCAGTGCTCATCCGCTGTCTTTACGCTAACAGCAAAACAAACAGTCAGGCACTTTCAGTATGAATGGAAGGAAGTTTTGTGGGCTTCAAGATCAGTCATAACTGCGAGAAAAGAAGAAAAAAAATGGACTTTCGGTCTCCGGTGAGCGCGTAGAAATACCGTCATTTGTGCAGAAACGAGTCGAGTGTTGCACTTCCTTCCGATCCCAGAACAGCCGGCATGCCTTGTGGGCGACCGTCCTGCTGGCCTTAGATGTTGTGGTTGGATTTTAAACTGTACTGCTGTGAGTGCCACACATTCTTAATGAGGCACGGGAAAGGAAAATGTGATCACACCTCTAAAAAACCCAAAGTTGTGTCGCTAAATACAATCTTTGGCCAAAAATCAGCTCGCTCGTCCCCGGTGACTTTTGTTGTGGAGGTGATATCTGCTCGTGCCGCCCAGTTAATTTCAGGATTTTCCTACAATGGAAATGTTGGTCACATGGCAGCGTGGGTATTGTCTATCGGGGAGTTCAAATAAGGAAATAGAATGCATCGATATCACAAACACCCACAGTAAAACAACAAATAAATAGGTGGTTATGACATGCATATGTTAGCATTTACACGTTGACATTTCCGTAGACGCAGATTCTAACAGCAGGATAACACAAAGCCCAACGAGAACGGCTCTGTTGTATTAATTCCTCCCCCGGCCTGCAGCCTGCTACTCTGTCTCCGGTAGCGTGTGCTTGCCACTGTCACCAGATTAGCAGGCAGGCTTAAACCCTGCTCAAAGACACTGTGTACAGAACATTGCCTGTGCTAATACCGTTTCCCTCTACCGACCACTTTAAACCACCACCAGTCCAATAAGATCAGCAGTACTAGAGGTGAACGCGATAATATGGCCTTCTACTGTGAAGCTTGTAATGGGTCGTGTCAAGTTGGAAATGCTTGCTATATCATTAGAGTGTGTAACGTTACACAAGAGTTGCTGTTGAATGTTTTGGTCTCCTTGCAATAAGCTCGGCAGGTTGTGACACATCCGACTGCAATAAGGGAGTCGCAGCGGTAATTCAAGCTTATTTCTGTCGGAATCAGTTTGAATTACACAATTGAAAAAGGGATCCTTTCAATCTGGTAATCCCTGCTTTTAAAAAGATAACAAATAAGAAAACCAACATTTTGCACAACTGTTGCGAAAGCGCCGCCTTGTTTTGGCTCGACGGTGCGAATCGCACTTAAATATTTACCAGCGTTGGACGTTGTTGGAAGGTTGTTGGGACGTTGTTGGACGTTGTTGGGCATTGTTGGGACGGTTGTTGGACCGTTGTTGGACCGTTGTTGGGACGGTTGTTGGGACGGTTGTTGGGACGGTTGTTGGGCATTGTTGGGACAGTTGTTGGACGTTGTTGGGACGTTGTTGGACGTTGTTGGGACGTTGTTGGGACGTTGTTGGACGTTGTTGGGACGTTGTTGGACGTTGTTGGGACGTTGTTGGACGTTGTTGGACGTTGTTGGGACGTTGTTGGACGTTGTTGGACGTTGTTGGACACCTCGGTGTGTTTGAGCCGGCTGACAGAGGTGTCAGCTGTGTGCAGGAACATCAATTATTAACACCCCCCCCTCCTCCTACTTCAAAGAGCTGGCAAACCATTCAACCCCAGATTTGGGGAGTGTGTGCGTGGGGGGGGGGGGGGGGGGGTGAAGGGGAAGTTGCTGGTCGCTAGGCAACCTCAGTGTCACCTGCCCCGACATGCCGAAATCAACTAACCTCCGGGGGCTGCGTTTAAAAGCGTCCCCCCCCCCCCCCCAGCAGGATACGTATGGAAAACAAAACAATTACCGAGAGAAAGCTAAACTGTGTGCGTCTGGGAGGGAGGTGTGATGTGATTATGTTGCCCCCCCCCCATGTGAGAAAGAGGAAAGGTTTTGTTGCCTCACAAGCAGAACTACTCAAATGCCCGAGAGCAGAATCCAACAGCGGATGTTTCCCACAGCGTGTTGCGTTGAAAGGTGTGTAGTATGTGTGTGTAGCGGGGGGGGGCATGTCAGGTGAAGATGCACGGTGACTGTTCAGCTAGAAAATCAGGAAGTTTGGCTTAAGCAACACGTCCAGTCGACCGAATGGACCCTGCACCCCCCCCCCCCCCCCCCAGGGAACTGTTGTTTGTTTTCCCTCTGCCAGCAAAAACCCCCACACCCCCCCACACACCCCCCGCTTTTGATAAAAAATGGAGGAAAAACCTTGAAAACCTTTTTGGATAAATGGTCAAAAATGTGTCCTTTACACAAAAAAAAACATGGCTCTTGGTGTTAATTAATAACTCGGCTCAAGGCGTCTTTTCACTTTCTCTGCTGTCCACCGGCTCTTTTGGAATCCGATGAAAGAGACAATGAGACATTTACGGTGCGTCTTCATCCGTTACTCATTTCTGGGGGTAAATCCGGCAGTCTGAGGATCACAGCGACCCCACGCGACCCAATAAAATCTTCCACCTGACTCCGCGCTGATACCCCGGTGTCCCAGTGAGCCTGTTTGATCAGGCTGTGTGCCGACGCCGTGATAGTGCATGTGTGCGTGTGTGCGTGCGCACGTGAAGTCCTGGCCATGCGTGACAACAGCAAATGACCACCTATCCGTCAGCGGCGCTTTAGCCTGAGATTACCATGAGCTCCGGCTTGGCACCAGCTGGGCCCAAAGCCTGCAGAAATGAGAGCTACCACAATGCATAGACTTGAATGGGTGGGGGGGGCACTGGATTGCATTTAACATACCTTGTGTGATGTGTACTGAAGGGTTTTCAATGGACTCGTAAAACGGTCGTGGGGGAAAACCCAGTTTAGATTTGCCGGAGGACTAAAACTAAAAGCTAACAGGAGAGATCCTCCCCCCCCCCCCCCTCGAGAGTTCCCCTTTGCTGGTCTGCCTCTCCATCAGAATGTGGTCTCTGACTTATATTGAGAAAAATCAGCAAGCCGCCACAGGAAGACGGCGCGCTGCACTGAGCCGTTGCCGTGGGTGGGCCCGAAGAAACGAGAGCGTCAAGAGAGGAAGAGAAGCAACTGCAAACCGTCTCCGAGGGTCCCGCCCTGCTCGGCATGCGTCTAGACCGCCCCCCCCCCCTTCCCCCCGTGAGGCGGGGCGGGGCGGCAGTCACAACAAGGGCTCGGGAAAGCAAACAGCGCCGTTTAACCGTTCGCCTACGGAGTCGCAAACGAGGACCCAACCCCTGCATTTAAATCGGGGGCCCAAACAAGGAGCTCCCAGCGCAGCGTACAATTATGAGATATACGAGGAGACAGAGATCTGAGGGCCCCCCCCCCTCCCCGTGTGCACCAGAACACCGGCCGCTACCGAGCACCGTGCCGAGGCCGGACGGCCCACCGATGGGCGTCAAGAACACACACGGGTTACTTGAGACTAGGGTGCATCGGGCCGCTTTGGGGAGGGGGGGTGGAGGGGGGGCAACAACTCTTCACTGAGGATTCATCAAACAAACAACGGTGTTCTCCTCCCTGAAGATGCCTTCGTGGACAATGGGAAAAGCCAGATCCAGCCATGACTTTCCCGACACGACCTCGATCAAGCGTTTTCACAGCCCGCAGGCACATGACCAAGCGCCCCCCCCCCCCCCGGAGAGAACCTCTTCACCCTCGTCTCACGTGAGGGTGATTATGAGGAGAATTGTTGGGGACCTTGGGCTCTTCTGAATTTGCATAAGTCACTTGGTCGTTATTTAGAGCCGGTGGTCGGTGTTTCTGACCAGAGGCGTACGAGCGGTAAGTCAGTTAAACCCCCCCCCCCCCACGTGAAGGTGAGCATTCTTTGGTCATATCCACCCCCCCCGACCGCACGGTTACATTACCCGTTACACACAAATGTTTGTGGTGCTGTAGAAACGGTTTGGTGAGGTAAGCCCACCGACCATGACAGCACATGTGATGACCCCGTTAGCGTTAGCGACTCGTTAGCAGCTCGTCTTTAGCTAACCAGCCGTATCTGCACGTCACGCGTGTTCTGAGATTGGCAGATTAGAGAAACCACAGGGGGAAATGCAGTAGAGTATATTGAAATATATGTTTGTTTTTGAGTTATTTCCCTCCCAGACGGGGGGGGAGGTCCTCCCCCCCTCCCTCACCCGCGGGTTAACGCGGGCACGCAGCTCCCCGGTGCCTCGGGGAACCACGGGTGCAATGAATGGAAAAGCAGGCCACGGTTCTATCCAGGCCGTCTTTATTGATCCTCAGAACCCCCCCCCCCTTCACAAAGACCATCCCCGCCCCCCCCAGCTTGACAACAAAAAAGGGGACAATATAAACGACCAATAAATAAGAATCTGCGCGATTAAGGCGGTTCTACAGCTCCAATAGAACACAACAGTGTGGACATGTTGGAGTTATACAGCTTCATACAGTAAAAGCAGTACATTTAAAAAAAAAGAAGGAAAAAAAGGCCACACTTAAACAAAAGTGAACCGTTTTTTAAAATCTGGATCAAATGAGAACCGTGTTCTTCTACTGGGTCTGACTTACGATAGAAAATATAAGCTCTTCTTAGATGAAGCTATCGTCTGAGCTCATTTAAATACTAGGCCAAACAGAACGGGAAACTCTTGAGGACTTAATTTAAAACTTTTCCCGCATCCGACTCTCAGAGAAACAAAAAAAACATTGGAACCACTCGGGTTCCAAAAAGGAGACGGTCGTTCTTTACACCAGTTTTCTCAGATAGGAATAAATAAATACACCTTTTTTTTTACTGGTAAACTGTCATGGAGTCCGGACTTGGAGGCTACACAGTGTCTTAGCATTGTTCAGAGTGGCTTCTAAGCACTGCTGCACGTCTTCATTACATTCATGTCCAGGAAATGGGAGGAGTGGACTTCTGCCTCCAACCCAACCACCCTCAGGACACACGCGTGAGACTCCAGCACGGCGTGTTCCCCCGCGGGTACCCAGAGTCCTCTTCTGTGCGTCCCACGCCCGCAACAGCGCTTTAGTCGTACTGGGACGCGCTCCCCAAAAATAGTAAAGTAAAAAAGACGAGCGCTCTTCGTCCGCCCTGGACAATTCGCTCTCCGCGCGTCTCCGTTTGTCCCCCCCACCTTTCGCAAAAAATCAGGTCCTCTCAGCAGCTCACGGTGCTGGGCTGCTGTTTGTTGACAAAGTCTGAGATGAAGTCAAACTCATTCTGTCCCAGGCAGAGTTCAGGCAGCTCCTGGACCCGGTCCAAGCCCAGCTCCATGACAAGCGAGGTCAGAACCTCCTCGTCGATCATGTCCGCGTCCATGCCGTTCAGGGCAGGGCGGGCCCGGCCATGTGATGCATGTTAGCCAGCTGGGCCGGGTTCATTCGGTACTGGGTCATGGACCCCAAGTGGTTACCACCCATAGGTACCAGTAGGTGTCCATGGTACTGGGTGTTGAGTTTTTGCAGCTGCATGCTGACCATGAGCTGCTGGAACGTAAACCTCCGTTCATAAACTGTTGTGTTGTGCTGCTGCTGTGGGTGCTGGGCTGTTGCTGGTGCTGTTGGTGCTGTTGTTGTTGTTGTTGTTGTTGGTGGTGGTGCTGTTGCTGCTGCTGTGGATGCATGTGATGCTGCTGCTGAGGGTGATGCTGCTGCTGCTGCTGCTGCCCATTATACATCATGTTACCAGAGGTCATCTGGTGGTGACCCATCTGGGCCCCATTCAGTTGTCCGTTCATGGGCCCGCCCACCATGCCCTGCCGCTGCCTCATGGCGGTCTCCATGTTGGCCTGGGCGCCGCCGTAGTGCATCATCTGGCCGTTGGGCAGCGCCCGCATGCCCTGCTGGTTGGCATGCGGCTGGTGACCTGCCTGCAGGCCGCCGTTCATGCCCATCCTGTAACCGTGGAGACTAGCGCCCGCTGAGCTGTGATTCATGGGCATCATCAGATGGTCCGCCATGCCTCCTGTCTACGAACAGAGAGGAGACGCGGTTAGATCGTCGCAGACGGGATGCTTGGAGGCAGTAAAAAACATTTTTTCTTTTTTTAAAAGGGAGGCGCACCTGGATCAAGACGGATCACATGCATCTGCACGTTTAACGGTATCATGTAGCAACGGAACGCGGCAGCACGTGAGAGACGTGCAGCACGTAGCTGTGGGTCAAACCAATTTCATGCCCAATTGACTTCTCTTCTAGTGGATGCACAATTCACCTTCCTCAGAAGGAACAAAGATACAGTTCCTTTGGAACGGCGCTGTCAGACCGGACGGAAATAAATCTGCCCATTGACGACCACTGAAAATCCGCCCCCCCCCCCCCAAACCTGCCCGCTTTGTGCCAAGGAATGAACGCCCAGGTCGGAATTACAGGTTAACGTGTTCGGAGGGTTCCTTCGCTTTTTTTTCCTTCAACCCGAGACTTCATGCACGACGGGATCGACATAAACGGCGGAAATGCGCGCGAGGCACAATGCGTTAAATCCCGTCCGTGTGGCACGTGACAGAAGGCAGACGCAAACGGGTTACATTTTACGCACGTAAGGTCGCAACAAAGAACACTGACATCGCGCAACATCTCCCCGAGAGCCGAATCGCCACATTTCCAACGGCTCATCCGACCCAACAAAGGCTCCGCGTGCCTCCATCACTTTGCGCCCGTTGCGTTCAACGCTCGCGTGCGGTATTATCCATTTTGTTGCACCTCGAGTTGGAAACGAGGAAACGCAAACAATGGAGCAGCAGACCAAGACCCCCCGACGTCTCTTAACCAATCCCCCCCCCTCCCCACCCCGGGAGAAAAACACTCACCCGAATCCGCGACGTTTTCACAAAGTTGCGCGACTTTGCTTCGGCTCCGTCTGTTTAAACTGTTTTCCTCCACAAGGCGAAGCTCCCCTCCGAATTACAGCGTCTATTCCTGCGGGTTACGCGTCATGCTCCAGCGGCGGGGACGGTGTGCACAAAGACTGCCGCATCAGATCTTGAAACGACTGCCTGTTTTCTGGGTCAACTCAGGGATTATGTACATCTAAAAAGCTCAGAGGAAGGCGGTCGGGGAGAGGTGGAGCCTGGGTCCGGCCTCTTCTTTGTTCCTATTGGCCCTACTTAATATAATTGTGCAGGGGCGTAGAAAAAAGGGCGCTCTAGAAGGGGCTCTCGCCACCCTCGCCCAATTTAAAGCCCCCCCCCTCCCACCCCACTTCCATCTTCCCCCGCTGTTTCTTTTTTGAAAAGAACGTTTGGATTTCTTGTTTTGTCTTCTTAAGTAGGCTGTTATAAAAATACATAGATAGATAGGTAGATAAATAGATAGATAGGTAGGTAGGTACACTAAATATATCGATAGGTAGGTAGATAGATAAATAGATAGATAGGTAGGTAGGTAAATAAATATATAGATAGGTAGGTAGATAGATAAATAGATAGGATAGTAGGTAGGTAAATAAATATATAGGTAGGTAGATAAATAGATAGATAGGTAGGTTGGTAGATAAATAGATAGATAGGTAGGTAGGTAGATAAATAGATAGGTAGGTAGGTAGATAGATAGATAGATAGATAGGTTGGTAGATAAATAAATATATAGGTAGGTAGATAAATAGATAGATAGGTAGGTTGGTAGATAAATAAATATATAGGTAGGAAGATAAATAGATAGATAGGTAGGTAGGTAGATAAATAGATAGGTAGGTAGGTAGATAAATACATAGGTAGGTAGGTAGATAAATAGATAGATAGGTAGGTAGGTAAATAAATATATAGGTAGGTAGATAAATAGATAGATAGGTAGGTAGGTAGATCACTCCATAGGTAGGTAGGTAGATAAATACATAGGTAGGTAGGTAGATAGATAGATAGATAGGTTGGTAGATAAATAGATAGGTAGGTAGGTAGATAAATAGATAGGTAGGTAGGTAGATAGATACATTGATAGGTTGGTAGATAAATAAATATATAGGTAGGTAGATAAATAGATAGATAGGTAGGTAGATAAATAGATAGGTAGGTAGGTAGATAGATAGATAGATAGGTTGGTAGATAGATAGATAGATAGGTAGGTAGATAAATAGATAGGTAGGTCGGTTGATCAATAGATAGATAGGTAGGTAGGTAGATAAATAGATAGGTAGGTAGGTAAATAAATATATAGATAGGTAGATAAATAGATAGATAGATAGGTAGATAAATAGATAGGTAGGTAGGTAGATAAATAGATAGATAGATAGGTAGATAAATAGATAGATAGATAGGTAGATAAATAGATAGGTAGGTAGGTAGATAAATAGATAGGTAGGTAGGTAGATGACTGTTTGTCACGTGGCCGGTCCGCCTCGGCGAGGACAGAGGAATGCAGCCTGTGTGCTATTCTAGGCCGCACTGACTGCAGCGGCAGTGTGACCACTGCTGCGCGGGGATGTGCGTTCGCCTGGTTTTGCGTGTGCGGACGGTGGATTGAGGAGTGCCCGTGTGCTTCTGTGTCCGTACCTCCGCTCTGCAGGTGGACACATCTCTTGAGTGCCCACTTCGGGACAACGACCTCTTGCTTGCAGTTGCAAATGAATGGAACCACTTCAGGGGAGAGCGAGCCGGTCTATTGTCCTGGGAGGTCTGCTACAAATGGGCAACCACTTGCGGACATTTGTCATTGTTTGACATTGTCCAGACACTTACGCCCCTTCCAGGTATGGGTGCTATCAGCGAAACTCACCCGGCCAGTCGGTGCGAGGAAAAGCACAATCAACACACGTTTCTGTTCTGCTGTGACGAGCTTTCCTTTAGTGGAGCATGTCTTCTGTGCAAGGTTACTGCAATCTGTGACAATCTGACAAACAGGCCTTTTAAAATGCCTCAAAACATTTTATTTCTTATCCCAGGGCCAAAAGGTCCTAATGGCGTTGTTTGCATTAGAGAGCGTAGGCAGTGTGTCCAAACCTTCTGGAGCTCACCAATCACATCGCTGCGTTGGTTTGAAACCGAAGATATCTGCATGAAATTGCAATCAGCCATGATTGTAGAGGAAGATATGCATATGGTAATTACACAGCCATTAAACAGACTTGCGTTGCTGTAATTAGACCGAGTATTACGTGGTCCCTTATAGACTGTATGTTGTATGGTTTGGAGTGGAGCCATTTATGGACCTCTATGCTCGTGTGTGTGTGTGTGTGTTTTTTATTCTAGGGTTAAAGAGCAGGATTCATGTGAATTTATAGGAGCGATAGGCGGGAAATGTCGCTTCCTTTCCCAGCTTGGCCGCACCCCCCGCGGCACACTGTAAAACATGCAATAAAAAAACGCTGCAGTTGCAGGATCGGTGGATTTCACACAGGCCTCGCGCTCTGAAACAAGCGCGCTCTTAGCAGATCAGTACGCGCGTTTCCCCCCTTTGACGAAAGTCCACTCTGACTCTGCTTGAGTGACACGTAGGTAATAACTTCTACGTCGGAACACGGCGTAGAACTCAGCCCACTCTCTCTAAGCGTGTGACTCCCACCGTCGACTGCGTCGCCTCCCGCAACATTTTCTAGCCGTTATGAAGTTGGCCGTGGTAAACTCATAACATCTAGCTGCCACTTTCAGGCCGTCTACGTTGGAATTTAAGGGAGCCGGCTGTCTGTGGAGATGTAGAAGCCAATGTGTATTGCTCCTCCACAGGGTCCCGTGTAGAAGCCTCCTAGTGCGACGGGACTGAACGTCTGATGTCCTGCATAGAAGATTACCAGCGGGATGATGCATTGACTGACAGCCTTGTCCCCGGTTCTGTGGATTTGTAGAGGAGATGCTTAGGAGAAACACCCAAAAACCAGCCAGTGTGCGTCTGATGCCGTCGATGAATTCAAACCCCCAGCCGGTGGTTGTGATGAATGACGTATCCTGTGTCTACAGACATGTGGGTGGACTCTTTGAGCTACTGTCTGTCAGTGGACAATCTTTCATCTGTGTCTAAGACCAGCTGACTCAGTCCTACCTACCCGACTAATCCTCCCAGCTCTGTGTGCCAGCGGTTACTGCCAACGTTCAGAGCCTTGTGGCTGGTGGCCACATGTGAGTTTAGAGGTGGAGCCACATGGCCGAGCACCCAGGAGGTGCTGCCGGGTTCTTAAGATAGTTTTGCTTGTATCAGTAGTGTTCCTGATATACAGGATGTCGGCTCTGCTCAGATTAAACAAATACTCACTGTATGAGTTTTTAATGCCTGTGTATTTTGGTTTGTTCAGAAAACCAGCAAGAAATTGGAGTCTAAATAATGTAAACTAAGGCTGCTTGTAGTTGTAAAAATCAGCTTGGCACCCACAGGCATCAAACAGTTGCCATAAATAAAATAAAAATACTAAATGTAAATGGTTATGTGTTTTACAAAACATCCCATCAATCTGCTCACAATTTGGATGAACCGACGGCCACCTTTTTTAGGCAGGACAGGAGTGTGTCCTATTATTCACATTTCCCCAGAGACGCGAAACCAAAAGTCAGTTTGCTCGTCCCTGTGTGGGGGAGGGTTGTTATTGTTCTGCTAAATGAGAGAGTCTCTATAAATACTCCCAAGGCTTCCTTCTTCGCCTCAACCACCAATCAACAGCCCCCGTTCGGGCCGAGCAGCTGAGAGGGAGCAATAAGCCCGAGTCAAGGCTAACGGGGGAGGGTCCGACTCCAACATGCTGTGGGTGAGAGGGGAGAGAGGGGGGGGGGAGAAACCTGGTAACTGCCACTCATGGACCCGAAGGCCAGGCTGGGAAGTGAAAGCAGTGCGTTGGTGTGCTGGGGGGGTGCGGGCGAAGGTGTGCCACAATAAAGCCGCTTTCCAACAACTTTTGTTTAGAGTTTTTTTTCCTTTCCGATCGTTTTAGGTGAAACGATTTCCTTCACCCAATGAACCAGCTCTCTGATCCCGTTGGAGGGGAAAACGCGCTTGCAGTTGTTGTGAGAATATGGCCGACACACAGATCAATGCGGCGGCCGTTAGCGCCTGTGGGACGTTGCCACATTTTTGTGTTGATTGGTTGTCTCTTTGTGTTTGTTACTGCAGCATGCACGGCACGTGAAAGAGGTGTTGAGGATTTGTTTTTTATTGAGGAGCAAATGGGCCACAAGTGCGTTGCATGATGAATAAATGAGGCTTAGGTATCAGCAGTTGTAGATGCTACGTGCTAGCTGGTGCTATTTTTGGTAACACCTCAGTTGTCGCTCAAATTAAGTCGTAAGTAAAAACTTCAGGGACCATGTGACCTGCTATTTTTAAATAGCCAATTTGGAATTAATCAGGCCAGAAAAAAGTCAACTGGTTTACAATGAAAATAAAACCTGCCGCCAAAAGTGTTTGGAGAGGAACCGAGTCGCACTATTCAGCAGAAATTCAAGGTACGTCGAGTTCGAACTTCCTTCTCAAGCTTTCTTTTGTTCATCTCCTTCCTACTTCTGTGAAACCCCACGATTGCCTCGGAGGGGCGACCGTCTGGTTCTGTTGTCCTCGTTTGTTTCTATCACACTGCCTCGACCCCGCGGCTTTTCCGTGACAGCCGGCCCGAGTGAAAGTGCGGCGATTCAGAGTTTTGCGTCTTGAACATTCTCACGGGGCTCAGAGTGACGCGGAGGCTCGACTCCGCTGAGGCGTACTTCGGCCTTCAGCGTCGGCGGGGGGAGAGCCGTCGTAGTGACTGAAAGAATGCCACGTTCCTGTTGGCCGAGATAGCGGAGACCATGAAGGGGTGTCTGAGGCCCCCAGATAACCACCGACACTAATCCCCCCCCCCCTCCCTCTCCAGCGGAGCATTCCCAGCGTACTTATCATGATAGCAGAGACGTGATAAGTAGTGTTGGTGCCTGCAGGTGTTCGCGCGCCCCGGCGCTGCCTTAATGGAAGCAAACACAAACACAACCAGAGTCGACCCGCTGGTTTACTGTATGCGATCGTGGCGCACAACATCAAGCAACGTCAGTCATTCACAATCTGTGCACCAGCAGCCCGGCGCCTGCACTTCCAAGCAACGCCGCTCTGCAGCATTTAGCAGCCTGAGGGATCATCGTCGACACGAACACTAATCACGCTCCCTTCACTGCACTTCCTGCCTTGCAGCACTGATGACGTTTTCGGGGTGGGGGTGGGGGGGGGGGCA